TAAGAAAGGTTAAGAAAAAGATGCAACATGAGAGAAAACTGAAGTTTGGGAAGGGGGAGGACATGATTGCTCAGACAAAGTGTGCTTTCTGCTTGTTCAGCTTCACTTGCAGAGTCCACAATCTGGTCTATCCATGATAAAAATAATTAGAAAACAGTAAACAAATGAAGTTTTCTAACCTCGGAATGAAATTGTCAGGTTGACGTAACAAGTGCTTTTAGACATGTGCAGCAGGAAGAAAGGTAATTATTTAACTTGCCTATTAGTTTAGTGGCTGTGAAAGGCACAGTACTCCTTGAAGTGAGAGGGAAGTCAAGGAGTTGAGATTTGCACTGATCTGCTGTAGGGAGGCTGAGTGGCCAATTTCTGTGTTGGCCAGGCACTTCTTATAATATCATTGTTTTCAGTTGCTTGTAACCTCATTAAATGTTTGCTGTTTGTGCGTATGTTGGCAGGCAGGGTTCTGGGAAAATAACAGCAAGTAACCATGTAAGCAAATAGCTAATCTATGTTTGCTTAGCCTGATATGTCATCAAATTCTTCCCAAGCACGTTAATGTACAGCTAAAATGCAAACTAGGGCCTCAATCCCCATCTGAAGCTTACCTGGGAAGTTGGGCCAGAGATCTAGGCTGAGGCTGTGGCACCCAGCTACTGCTGTTTGTGCATTAAAATTAGTTAGGTCTCTTTATGTGGAGATTGTTGACTCCTCTGAAAATTTTTGTGTATATTTCTGCTTATTGAATGGTTACTGTTATCCCTTCTGGCATTCCTGGAAGTTCCTCCTCCACCCTTAATAATCAGAACTTGAAAAAAACCCTTCATTCCTCTAGAAGGGGCAATGAAGGATACTGCTCAGATCCAAAATAAGAAGCTTAGCCTTGCCAAGACCCTGCAAAAGTGCTGCAGAGGTATGTCTGAATTGCTCAGGATCCCTCTATGGTTATCACATGCTTATACAAACTCCACCTAACTACATTACTTGTGATTGATAGGAAACCCTTGAGCTAAATAATTTGAACTTTATGAGTGCCCCGTTAATTCAGGTGGCTGTCGTGGATTCTTATGGGCTATTCAGTCATCCAGGTATTTGAACATAACGTATTAAATTTGCAATAGTGCAATAAATCCACCTTTGAGGCTGTTAGTATTAGATGCAAAATATGGTAGTCATATGGTGCAAAGCACTGGTACTGGCTCTGCTTGTTCAAGTGAATTTGGCAGGATAAGTTAATGGCAGACTTCACTGCCAAATCGGGGTATAATCTGTTCATGCCACTCTGGCTTCATGCTAGATTAGATAGCAGCAGGGTTTTGTTGTGGCTAGGTTAGACCCAGACACTCACAAAAGCGTTGAATTTTGTTTTCCATCTAAGTAGACAGGGGTGTGGTGGTGGTTTGCATCAAACTGTGCTACTTCATGATCTGGTCATTCACTAAGCCAACATGAAGAATCATGTAACCACTGCCTTAGCCATTAGATAACTTGTTGATCCAGTGTTTGCACATATTTCATAAGGCAGTTGTTGCTTGAAGCGGTATGGAAAGGGATGTATAATTGACTCTATCAGTTAAAAATAAAAAAAGTCATTAGTTCATGTCAGCTTACTCAAAATGTAACATAAACCCTGCAAAATTGTCTGTTGCCTGGGTAGAATCAGCACATGAGAAATATGGTCTGCTTACAGATTAGCAGTGTGGGCTGGAAGGCAAATACACAAGGTGTGTCTTTTGTGTCATGTGCCTGGCATCTAAATTCTGACTGCAGACATTTTCAGCCTCCCTCAGATTTTGTGAATAGTGCTATATTTGCCTACAAACATGCTTTCTCATTTTAGTGCATTGGCCAATCTGTTGTCCCTTTTTCCCTCAATTTGTCTGTGTTTGTGTCAGAAGTTTGTTTCAGATTATAATGGAGAGGAAAGCAGGGTGCAGGTACACACTGTCACTGCTGTATGTTTGCCCTGAAGCAAATTACGTAAGGTAAAAAAATGTGACGTTTTGCTTGAAATGTAAAGTTCAAGGCTTGTGAAGAGGGTGGTGATGTCCTGCTGGTCGTGTGGGCACCTGTAGAGTCTTCTCAGAAAGCTCTATCAGGTGCTTTGGCATTTTTTTGCTGTATCTTAGAAGGTTGTGTCAGAAATGGCAAACTGTCCTGGTCTCCATTCCAGAGCTTTCATTGATCCTTTATGTACATGAGTCCTAGTAATTGAATACCTTGAAGATGAGGTTTGAAATCATGAACTCATTTGGGTTTAATTTGCTTTGTGTGATTTTTCTAATCAGCTGTAGGAATGAACTTGTGAAGACTGCATCCAGCTGGGACCCTTTAAACTCACTTAGGAGCCTTTATCCATGAGATACCACATTTTTTTTCTTACAAAAGCTCTTGTATTCTTGTTTGATCTTTTTGAGCTAGTGTGACCATTGATATGTAATCTAAACTGTAGCTATTTCACATGTCCCATCTGAGATGTGGCCTGTTCTTCATACAAAGAGGGAATGGTTTCCATAATCAGGCAGAGCAGAGTACTATATGTCTCCCCAAAGAGCCACGGAAGTGAGAAGCAAAGCAGGTCATTAGAGTTTTTCTTTTTACCATACCTGAGCTCTCTTCTGGTTCATTAGTGTGGGTTATACTGTAGTAGTACTTCATGCTGAAGTGAAAATCACTATTGTGCTAGACTCCATATAAACACAGAGAACAACACAGACCTTGCAAAGGCTTTATAAGACAATTTAACTTAAAATAAAACAGATGTTTGTGACAATGGAGGGGAAGAGAATACTAAAACAGCATTAGCACATGTTCTGGTGCTTGTAATGGGCATTTCTTTGGACTCTGAATTATTAGAAAGCTGCATAGAAATATTTAATTATAAATAAATATTAGCAAAGCCTATTAAATTAAGAGAGAAAATAGGACAGTAATTTTTATTTCCAAATACCATACAACATTTTTGGCCTAATGTAAAATGTGTGAGACAGGCTGACTAACACAGAGGGAGAAGTAAATGGTACTTGAAGAGTACACAAAGACCTGGAACAGATATTTAATGTTAGCTTGTTGAGATTGTGTAACTGGATGGCAGTATAATACGGTTTTGGCATCTTTTGTGGATACTTTTATTCACTGATATTTTTCAAGCATATTGTTTCAAACATGGTTAGCTGAAGTCACTGCTTAAAAACGTTGACAAACACACATTTTGTTGAGAGATTACAAACAGTTTCACTGTTTACTTCCCGTGGCAGTCTTTGAAAGTTGCACTAGGTTTTTCAGTTTTGAACATTTATGGGCTGAGTTGTGTTAACACATAGGGCTTGATCATACCCTGTATGATCAGCTGCAATTCTTGGGCTTTGAAAGCCAAGCAGGTAGATTAGGAATAAAATTTCTTATCCATTTGCAATCAAAACACTACCTTAGGGTGTTTTTTTTTAAAAAGGAGTCCACTGATTCTCTTGTACAGTGTTGTTACAGGGTATTATTTACAGCCTAGTAGGAATTCAGATAAACTTTCAGCATATTGTGGTTTTTGTTTATTTTGTCATATCTGTATTCTCCTACTTTGCTCATCTTTGAATTTGGCAATCTGTGTATGTTTTCTTAAAATAATTTTGTGATGGTTTTGAGGTGCAGCTTCTGATATCTCAGGAAGGCCACTGATGAATATTTCTCAAAGGTTCAGTTGTGGTGATATTTAGGGTTGGCTCTGAGGTGCCTTGCTGTTTTGGGTCAGGGATCTCTGGGCTTTCTGAAGTCAAGCCTTAGCTATCACCTGTGTAAGCAGCTTCAAGGACCAAGAATGCGCATTATTAGCCATATAGATGCTTTCTTGAATTGCCCTTTTGAGTGGTTCTGCAGACCTCTGACATGCTGTAACAGGACACATTTCCTGTGGTTCTTGTCAGTAAAAATGTTGCATATTTAGTATCTGTCACAGTTAGGTGATGTAGAAGCTATTTGAGCTTTCTCTCCAAGCAAAACTGAAAGGCATCCTAGATATTTTACTTATGTCTTATAAATCTTTGATCCACCCAGGGGCTAAGGGCTTGTTGATGATGGCAAAAATGTGGTCTGAAATCAACCACAGACAGCCAGCACTGCGTGTTCCTGCACTGAGTAAACTGGGGTGTCTCAGGCCCCTCCATCAAGCCCTGCCATACAGTCACTGATGCAGAAGGACTAAGGGCTGTTGGTCCTGTGCTGCTGGTGACACCCAAAGTGTTAGCAAAGCTACCCCAATGCACATGACTCAGTTACTCACTTAGGGTCCTGTGGGTGTCATTTGGTCTCCTGCAGAGTCCTGCAGCATCCACTGTGCATTTAGAGACTACTTTGTGGCCTGGATGCAGACACTACTTTGATTTAAGTGGATAGCAGAAAGGCTAGCTCTAACCTTTGGTGAATTGTCCATGCTCAGAAAATGAAGTTGCTGTGTCCTGCTGATTACAGGCTTCATCTGGGGTTTGGCTTGTGAAACAAGGAGGTCATTTTATCATCAGATATTCTCTGATTTTGCAGTGAATATTCCCTTTTAGTAAAAAAAGGTGAAAACTCTATTCTCTCAAACAAAAATTTTACACTAAATTTCCTACAAGGAAGAATAGATAGTTTGAATGGAGACTGCAATTGAAAATACAGTTCAGGCCAGGGACTGGCATGAGCAGGGGAGCCTGCTGAAGGGTGATGGCTGACTGGCAGTGGTAAAGTGTGTGATTTACATGTAATGTGCTGTGACATGTAGTGGGGAAGAGGGTATCGTGTGCTAGGATGTAACTGCTGGGCAAATTATCATGAAAAGCACGATACCAGACACGGGGCCAAATTCTGATGGCCCTCTTGTTTCCAACAAATTTTCATAAACTGGATTTGAAAGAAAACTCCCACTTTTGTGCATTAGAGCCGAAGCAGTATGTCCTGCTCAGCCGTGCAGGTTACAGCATGTGCAACGTGCCCTGACTCCCTGTCTGCCTGTTTTCTCTCTCTCTTCTCAGATGGCCAGTGACCCATGTGCCGAGCAGCCCCGGCCCACACCTGGCATGCTGGCTGGAGTCAGCCCCTGCCACTGAGGCCAGGAGGAGCGAGGAATCACCATGGCCTCATCCCAGCGAGCCCGGCACATTGGCCCTCCTGATGGAGGCTGGGGATGGATGATTGTTGCTGGCTGCTTCCTTGTCACTATCTGTACCAGGGCCGTGACAAGGTAAAGGCAACTGCTGCTTGTCTTGCTGACCTGTTCATGGCATTATCTTTTTCCTTTTTTTTTTTTTAACCTTAGGAAGAGGTTTTGAGATCTCCCCTGATGTCCCAGAGCTGCCGGGGTTATTCTGGTTAGGTACAAACTCTTGTTACATTTTTAAAGGCTTCCTGAAACCCTTAAAACTGTGGGGGAGATGGCTGAGGGATTATGAGCCCTCTGGTTTTAGTCTTGCCTCCTCTGACAGCTGCTCTAGCTTTCAGCACCCTCTCCTTGATTTCTTACAGAATCAAGGCCTGGAGCAGGTAGCGCTATTTTAGGCTCTGGTAGTTTGATTGGGGAGGGAGGAATCACGTAGGGTCTCTTCGGGTTCACTGTGTCCCTCTGACCCCACAGCCATGCTCATTTTTGCTAGTCCCAGTGAATTAGCTTCCTGAGTCTCTCTGAAAAACACGTAAATACCTCCTTCTCCTACTGCAAGCACTTCAGGTGCTGTTCTGCCCGAGAAGGTCTGAGCCCTAGAGAAGAGGCCCCTCTTTATACCCTTCTGGTATCCAAAATATGCAGAAAATATTTCTCAAAAATAGAAAGAACAGGAATAGATTTCTGCCTTGCATGAACATAAAGCAATCTGGGATGAGATTGCTTCCATAGTGGCTTTGATGCCAACCGGAGACAGAGGAGCCTGGTGTGTGTGAACATGGACATTCAAGCTATATTAGGCAGATAGATAAGCACCCTGGTAAGCGAGGAACACTGAATCAGTGTCTTGTTGGACAGTCAGTATAACGTAAATATAGTGTTTGCTACCTAAAGTTCATATTTCTTTTAGAATAAAGCTGCCAGATTTAGGGATCTAAAGCCTAGGGTTTTGGACTCAACATCATAAAAGAGGCATAGAAACACTGATTAGTGTTAGTTAATGTATGCAAATGTACCAATTCCATAATAGCAGTAGAGAATAATTCCTTGTGGATTTAATTATTTTTTAATGTGTGGAATGTGTTACATCCAAGAAATGATCTAATGGCTGACACACAGTAGACTATATAGAAGAATGAAGTATCTGCAAGAAAAAAAGCTGAAGAAAGTGGTCATTCATTGATTTACTGGAGGGAAAAAGAGAGAGTGAAAAGGCATCTCTTGTTGATCCAGGAATGAGGATGAAACTACGCAGCCTTTGAATCTGCTCCCCTGCAGAGACAGGTAGAACAGTAACACTTGCTAAGCAGAGCAAAGTAACATCTCCTAGAAGCATTTTATTAAAATGCTGGAAGGTCCATGGGCTCCTGTGGTGTTTTGATTCTCTGTTTGTCAGGATTTGCTTTGCACTTGTCCATCCATGAACATGTAGGCAGTGTTCGTTCTGTAGGTACTATATTAGCCAGTTTGTGCAGGTGTGGAGTAGAGAGCAACCAGGTCAGTGGGGAATTGGAAAACTGGGGCTTTATGTTCCAGGGAAGCAACATCACAATGTGGGCTATAAATTGCTGATGACAATTACAACTTCATTTAAGTTTAAAATATTGTGAGGTATAAAAACTCTAGAGGCAGGCACCCCAGCAAGAAACATGTGGTATTATAACATTCATAATCTCTCTGGAGATTATGTCTGAATTAGGCGCTACATCAGCCTAATTGTCTAATCCCACTGTTGAGATAATAGTTGGACACCAGTTTTTGATTCAGTTGTTGCCAATGCAAAACAAGGATTGTTCTCATATTCCATGTCCTGTCCCTCATGCATTAAAGGTAGATCTTCTCTGCCAATATCCCTTAGAAACTGTTTAAACATTTCTCTATCTCGTTGGCATATTGGCAAACCACAGATTTGATTTTTCTGGGAGCTGGAGAGGACCTTCAAGTGGGTACTTTTTATACCTGAAGAGTGAGACCTGTGTTTTCTGTGAGCAAATGTTCCATGTTCAACAAATTTGTGTTCATATTTTTTGTCCTAGGTGCATCTCCATATTTTTTGTGGAGTTCCAGGCATACTTTGGGCAGGATTATGCCAGAACTGCTTGGATCCACTCCATTGTTGACTGTGCTACAATGCTCTGTGGTGTGTATTACCCTTTTAAGCCTAATGTGTCTGCTTTTTCATCAGTTCCATCTGGTTTTAGCATGTTCACAAGTTGGTGGAGTCAGCTGGGAGCGATACTGTGGGCTCTCTGGGGTATGGTATATCCAAGCTGCTTCCATCAGCATAGATGTGCAGGAAGGGAGTGTCTTCATACTGAAGAGAAGCAGCAGAACTTTTTCTTATGCAATGATCTAAGTTTTCAGAAATGTACTTTCGTCGAGGTCTTGTGGGTCATGTCGTGTTTGAGAGCTACTAACTGAGCACGTGTTTCTTTTGCCTTTTGGTTGGAGTCATATTTGAGACTTAGCACAGGATGTACATCTTGCCTCCAGATCAAGTCACAGTCGTCTTCCTTTTACCATACATGTATATTTACAACTACTCTTCTCCCCTAAAAGAAGATTTGGTGTCAGTAAAAATGCAGCAAATTGTACCAAATTTCTCATGGGTTTGCTTTCAAGCTATACAGCCAGGTGAAAATCCATGTCCTGTGGAAGAGGGTTAATCCATGAGAATTGCTAGGAAGGCAGGGCGACCCAGCTGCAATGAGACATAGCAACTGACTTGTGTCAGCCAGGTTGTATCTGGGAAACACTTGAAGTTACTGAGAGCTGAAGTGCAAATTCCAGGTGGGAGAAGGTTGGAGTGTTGTAAGTGTGGAGTAATGAATACTGTGGGCTGTCACTGTGGCCTCTCTTGACCCCAGCACTCCAGATTGTGTCCTGTAATGATTTTGATCTATGAAAATGGCTTCTGAGAAAGCTACTGTAAATTTCAGTTTTATTGTGACTTTCAGAAAAATTGTTTTTAGAAGGTTTTTTTCAGTTGTTTTTGGTGCTCATACTATTGCAATAGGGGGAATGTTGGAGGATCACTCTGTGTAGCTGCTATCACCATTTTCTCCTGCTTGCCTCCTGAGTGTTTTTCCTTTATGACTGTTGCAATGAACTGTGTATGAGGACCTGCCATTAACTACCAGCTTTGTTTGTTTCTTTGAAGCCCCGCTTGGGAGTTTAATCAGTAATCATGTATCCTGCCAAGTTGGTATCATGCTAGGAGGGCTGCTTGCATCTTCTGGACTAATTTTGAGCTCATTCGCCACCAGTCTGGAACATCTCTACTTATCATTAGGAGTCCTTACAGGTAGGATGCATTCAGCCCCTTTGTTGCTGCCAGGAACACAACACATGATGGGTGATCTCTTCATGTCATATTGACACCCCACTGGTCTAATAGAGATACTCAGACCTGTTCCCTTCATTGAAAAAGAGAGGCTTTGGCTGCCGCTGTGAGAGCTTCAGCACACGCTGAGTCTCATGTAACCCAAATGCAGCACCCTGCAAAAGCAACTCTCTGTTAGAGAGAGGACTATGGATAAAGTTCTGAAATAATGGGAGGTCAAGAAGGACTTCTGTTGCAGGTGATATATATAAAAGGTTTCCTTTTTTTGCCTGTGATTTGAGAGGAGTTTGTTAAACTAGGAATTCTAGACTGCCCCAAAATATTTACATATTTAGGAAAAAAGGTTTAAATCAAAACATAGGAGTAAGTAAGAGGCAGAGGAGCACTGGGTGAATACCTGGCTCAGCTGTGAACCTGATTTTTGTCTACATTATATTCCATTTGAAAAACAAAAAAATTGCTGATTGGTAGAATTGTTGTAGCAGCTCTTCCATTTGTGTTCAGGTATGGTGATAATAAATCTTTGCTCTTTCCTGTCTGCCCGTGTTTGTTGTGCACAGAGGAACTTGAGAGGGGCCCGTGGTCACACTGACATTCCTTCCTCATTAATACTGACCTGGTAGCCACGGTGATATAAGACCTTGTACTTGGTCCCCTGCTGTTTAGTAATGAGTTGGTGGAATTACTGAGGTTCACATGCTGCCAACAGCTTATTTGTTTTAAAAAAAAAAATCCTTATTGTAGCGCATGTCACTCCTGTATTACAATGTTAATCTTTGACAAATGCGTTCATAACAAATAAAAAGGCTTCTTGTAACTTGAGGGACTGTGCCACATACCATGCTGCCTCTGAGGCTTCCTTACTGGGATCTGCTGTGAATACTGAGGTGGAAAAGCAGTTGCACTTTGTACATGAAGTTGTAGAGAGCCAATTCGAAAAGCAGTGAAATTCTAGTATATGGGGACTGATTGACAGAGACATGAACTGTTGGTAAAGGCTAGAGGTGATGCCCCCAACCCAGAGAGGAGGTGGGACCATAACGGGCGAATGTCTAAATCTGTAAAAGTTGCAGCAGTTGAAAACTGTGAAGAGTGAAGCAGAGGTGAGACAGGGGAGTGTCAATAATTAACAGTTCCTTCTAAGAGGTATGAAAATGTTTTCAGCCCTAAACTTGGCATTTGCACTTTTCACGACATTGATTGGCTTTTTTTGGGATGTTTCCCCCTGCCAACTCAGTAAAAAAATTAATGGCACGTATGCCAAATAGAGTATAATTTTAACCACTCTCAAGTGATGATGTCTAGCTCAGGGCTGCTCCTCTGGCTCTGGTGCCTATACAGGTCCAGCTGCAGCTCTGTGCCCTGCTTCTTGCCTCCCCTCCTGAGGGGTGTCAGACCAGGCACCCGCCGCCTGGAGTCCCTCTAATCCACTTATTCCATCCTGGCAGGTTTAGTGCCTGTCCTACACAGTGTGGCCTTTGAGGAGGACGTGGCAAGCTGGTTACAGCACAGGGTGATTATCTCCGCTTTTGGCAGTCGGGTCTGTTTTACCCTCAATGTAGGACATGCTCCAAAACCCAAGTCAGGAACTCATTTCCATGACTGATTGGGAAAATTCAGTTTTAGTGTTAGAGCAACCACATGATGATTAAAATCTGCTCTCTGGTTCTGCAACAGAGACCACAATCTTTTTCTCAGCCCAAGAGATGAATCTTATTTGTTTACTCAACTGGATCTGGCTTTGTTTTCTGAGGCTTTTCTCCCCTCTTTACTTGTAGGCAGGGATTTAAAATGGTCAAGGCTCCAAGCAGCTGTTCCATGGAGTTTGTTTAGCTGACCAAGAAGAGTTTTTTGTAGAATATTAGTAACAGAGACAGACTCTTTGTACTATGTTTCAGAGACCTGAAAATTAATGTTCAGGGTTGCAACAGACCAAAACACAAAGTGGTGCCTCATCAGGACAGTGTGTCCAATGCCAGCATTGGTGCAGACCCTGGGGCGAGACCTCATCTTACATGCAAGAGAGGCTGACACAAAATTTCTCTGATGTTTAGTGATCATCCTTGTTATTAAGTGAACCCTGTCAGTTATTTCTGAACCTTATTATCGTAGATTAGTGCTCATCAGTTAGGTTTGTCAAGACAGTGACTCTGCCACTGGAAGAAAGAAGTCATCCTAGTTTCTTGTTGCACTCTTGACTGGGCTGCATGATACAGAATCAGAAAAACTTTCTATTCGTTTGTGCTAATGAAAATACGTTAGGTGGTTTAATTTAATATGTTCCATATGTCATGCTTAGTATTAAGCCATCTGTACTGTGCTTTCTCTTCTAGGACTTGGGTTTGCACTTTGTTATTCTCCGGCCATTGCGATGGTGGGCAAATACTTCAACAAAAGGAAAGCACTGGCGTATGGAATAGCCATGTCAGGAAGTGGAATTGGTACCTTCATCCTGGCCCCCGTAGTCCAGCTCTTAATTGAGCAGTTTTCCTGGCGAGGAGCTTTACTCATCCTGGGAGGTTTTGTTTTAAACCTCTGTGTCTGTGGCGCCTTGATGCGGCCCATTTCTCTTAAGGAGGATCGTAAAACTGTTCCTGAGTTTCTTGAACAGGATCGTGTCCCTGAAACAGAGAAACAAGACTTAAAGCAAATGTCCGTCTGTTCACCTTTAATCAAAGTGTGGTCTCGTGACTGTTTATGCTACTGTTCACAGAAGGAATATGACTTTTTACTGATGCCAGGCTTCATGGTGCTGGCAGTGTCAGTTTTATTTATGGCATATGGATGTAGCCCTCTTTTTGTCTACCTAGTGCCTTATGCTTTGAGTGTTGGAGTGAGTCATCACCAGGCTGCCTTCCTCATGTCCATACTTGGTGTCATAGACATCATTGGTAATATCACCTTTGGATGGCTAACAGACAGAAGGTAAGGGTTTATAACTAAGCAAATGTAAGCTTTAGCTGGTGGAAGGCTGGGTGCAAGTGAGGTAGCATGTGCAACTTAAAAAAACCAACATACAGTCTTAACTTTCAAAAATGCTTACTATTTAATGTTTTCATCTCTTCTGAGTTTGTTCAATTCTACTGGTTTAAGATCTTTTTTTCCTGAAGAAATTATGTTTGTGCATTTGGCAGTGGAAATACAACCCTCTGCCTCAGATATGTTGAGAGTGATTTTTTGTATCTATTTTCTAGAGGATTTCACCCTGCTTCCTCTGACTTTCCATCTCTTTTGTGCTGCTGGGAGGCACAGAAGTTATGGAAGAGGGTCAAGAGTCTGGCTCAACACTGTCAGGCACATACTCAGAAGGACTGACTGAAAATTGTTGTACATTTTCCAGTATGTAAGAACTCGCCATGCTTTGTGAACTCAGCTCACTTCAAACATCAGTGTACAGCAACTGTAAATCAGTAGATTCTGGCTAAATTAACAGGGATTTTGATTCTAAAGGATGCATTCTTTGTGCTTATTCAGTTTGTGGGAAAAATCTATTATCAGCTTTGTGGAACAAGGAGGAAGGGAATTGCCATCTTGCTTAGCTCACACTAATTCATGTTTAAGGGCTGATTGGAAGAGTGACAGCTAAGAGAGGTATACTGCAGTATTTTATGTATAATACTGGAACATCTTGCTGAGCTGGGATGCAAAGCCCAATGAAATACTGCTTCAAACATTGAGACTTCAGAGGACTGCAAAATCCTGGCAGCAGGGTGGCTTCCCTCAGTAGGAGCATTCTGAAGAACACTGCAGACAGCATGGACTGCTGCTCGCCAGATGTTTCTGCAGCTGTAGGTGGGCAGCTTTCCCTATCCAGGCTCATCAGCACTGAGTTTTTAATCTTGAAGACTGTGTAATAAAATGGACTTAAATTTGAGCTATATAAGAGAGGCTGAAGCACTGCATGCCAGGGCATAGAAACTGAGATGCTTTGTTCAGTGATATTTTTCTTTTCTGTTTTGAAATTTGCAGGTGTCTGAAGAAGCATCGGTACTTTTGCTACCTCTTTGCTGTGGGAATGGATGGCCTTTGTTGTCTTTTCCTGCCAGTTCTCCAAAACTTCCCCTTGCTTGTGCCTTTCTCATTTACCTTTGGCTACTTTGATGGAGCCTATGTAACGCTGATCCCTGTCATGACAGCAGATGTAGTGGGAACTTCCTCCTTATCATCAGCACTGGGCGTTGTGTATTTCCTGCATGCCATACCGTACCTAGTGAGCCCGCCTGTGGCAGGTAAGTTCCCAAATGACTTTCCTATGATCTTATCAGTGCTTCAGATTTGCCTATTAGTGTGATGTAACAGCAGAGGAAGGACAGCAAATGCACACTAAATGTGGAGATAACATCTGAGTAGAGAACTAACACACACCTAGATCTTTGTAAGTCTTTAGATCTCCCATCCCTGTCTTGATGGGATAATTTCTACATATAGAGTGAGATGAAATTTAAAAATAAAACTAATATGGAATGAGCTTCTAAGAGCTCTTAACGTCACCACTTCACATAGTTTAGAAATTGTGCAAGTAAAAGGAGCAAAATATTACATTGTAAAATTACCAGATTTTGAAAATGTAACCTAAAGGGAGTTCAATTCCAAGATTTTTATTTTTTTTTTGGTGTGGAGGACTTATCTTTTAACCTCCAAACTGCTTTGAACAAGTGGGTGAGTCAGCTCCACTCCTGTTTGGTTGCCAGCTCATCACTGTAATATCTAATCATCATTTTCCCCATAGATTCCATTACAATGAAGTAAAGATGAGAGCTGTACTCCTATTAGTCTTTAGGAAGAACTTGACACAGTTTTAATATTGTGGAAGGTCAGAGATCTTTTTCAAACAGCCAAGTATATATATATATATATATATGTCTTGCGTATTTTGTCTGCTGTTCACATCAATTCCCAATTAATCATTGCTTCTGAAGCTTTTTATTTTCCGTAGTAAAAATTATTGCAAAATAGCATGAGCCCAAGGCATAGCTCACTAATTGTTTCTTTATGAGGATCTGATGCACACACTATTTAATCCCAGGACTCTGTAAGCCTGTCTAAAGACTGCCAGTTAAATCCATGCAGTTTATTTAGTTTTGTGGTGATGACTGTTGTGCCTTTTCTCATGGATTGGAGATTTGAGGCTCCAAACAAGAGCCCAAAAAATCTTATCTGCCTGCTGAGGACAAATCCCTCCCTGCCCTAGGAGGAAGAAATACAGTGATAGTGATGTAAACCTGTATTGTTTGATTGTATTTATATGTGGTAATTTGTAAGTTTACAAGTTGATAAGTTTATAAAACTCTCATTGATAACAGGATTTGGAAATTATCACAATACTAATGGATCTTTAAAAACCCATTATTTATTTTTTCCTACAGGTTGGCTGGTGGACACAACTGGCAGCTATACTGCATCATTCCTCCTGTGTGGATTTTCTATGATATTTAGTTCAACACTACTGTGCTTTGCAAGACTAGCAAAGAAAATCAAAAGAACACATTTGCGGTCGCTCACTAGTGATACAGGCATGAAACAGCACATGTGGACAAACGGAGCAATAGCTTATTCTGTCACAGCAGAATTAGACCAAAAGGATGTTGAATTTTTGTCTGTGGACACAAACAGCTGCAGCAAGAGGTGACAAGTGCCATCAAGATTCAGTACAACACAGCCGTGACTGAGACAGAGGTGGCTCCGTAGTGTTACACTGCTGAAGATACTACTCCTGTGAACCAAGGCATCTTTCAATTAGATTTTTCTGTCATGCTTTAGTTGACTGAAATCTACATACAACAACAGTAATACCAAGTTAATGCAGTAATAAAAGAAAGCTAGAATGAAAATAGAGTTTGTAGATACAAATGTTCACAGATTTATTGGAAATGTAATGTCCACTCCACAGGTAATCAACAATTGGCTGTACTCAACAGAAAACGATAAAGTAATCAGTCACCAAAACTGAATAATAACATTTACATTATTTAAAAAATATTATTAATGACCCATGCTTTTTGATGGTGTGGTGTAGTATGTTTCAATGGACTAATAACATACGCCACCTCCACATGTGATTTATGCTGAAAGTATCTCTGGAGCAGCTTTAATTTTTACAATGTGCCTGAACTTTGTACATACATTCCAATTTAATTTCAAATATAATTTTAGACCTACTTTCCCAAGCCCTCTACATCAAAAAAAAAATAATATTTTTTTTCCTCCTGGATGTCTTTAAAGCTTGAATTTCTAAAAATTGAAATCCCAGATATGATTTTCCAGCTTATCCTTGTCTTGAAGGGTGGAAGAGGTACTGTGGCAGCTCTGCTATATGAAAAGGAGTAAATTTGTGCCAGAGGACTAGGCATGCTGATAGACAAACCTGCTTTAGCTGCATTAGTTGGAAGAATCCTAAAGGCAGCCCAGGAGACCAGAGGAGAGGCTCATGTGTTTTCAAATACAGAGGCTCTTGCTCTTGTAAAATCAGCAGCTGTTGGAGAACTTTGGAGTCCATGCAACCAGATGACTGAGAGACTGCTCCCTGTCTAGGCTATGATTAAAGAGGATTGTGCTGTGTATTGCAGTGGCAAGTCTTTCTCCTTTTGGCCCCAGGAGCTGTATCTTCAGGTGGTGCAATTTAGTAGTTTGTGCCATCTGAAGAGATGTCAGGTCACTTGTCCTTGATGGCCAGAACACAACAGCTGCAACTTGGTGGTGGTTTCCTGCTACTTGTGTAAGGAATTCACTACAGCTGGCTGCTTCACAGGAGCTAGGGACTGAATGTAGATCATGGGTTAAATTACTGATCTAATAAATAATGGGATGTTTCTACATTTTCAGAATGAAAATGTTGTCAACAACGGAGGAACTTCACGTTCTGCAATACAAATAATTTCAGTATTTTGATGCTGTATAAAGCTGTGTTCTGTTCATTAACAAATTGATCAGAGTCCAAATAATTTTCATTAACACAGACCTAGCAGTTTTGTTAATCATCTGCAGTGTATTCAGTGGCTGCTCATGGTGTCCTTTTCCACCCCATGCCTCGGAAGGGAAAGCAACACAGATTGATGTTCACGAAGCTGATTTAGATCAAGAGTACAGCCATAGGGGTATAATGTATTTTTTAATATATATATATGAATAGCATGTGTATCAAGTAGTTTTATTATTCAAGCATATTTCAAATATAAAATATTAAAATTGTTTGACTTCAGTTGTCTGTGATTAAATAAAGCATTTCTCGCTGCCCTGCTTCAGAAGTGCAGTCAGAGCCAGTAGGATGATATATGTGCACAGACCACGGAATAAGAGATGGGAGTGCAAAAACTGCTTAAAGGTAATGACATAACCTTTCTTCAGCTCTGCATGAAAATTGAGTCCTGGTCCCTGATATTGTTTTTAACATATATTCATTAAAAAAAGACAAAAATCCTCCATGAATGTTTCTTAGTGAGTTAGGAAAAATATGCAAATCTGGAAAAAAATGAAGTGGTTTTATTAATTAATACTGATGAAGATAATGTTTTACATCTTAATGCAATATTTTAGTAGTAAAGAAGTGGGGCGTAGTATGGTCTACAAAGAATATAAGTAATTTTAAACAAGTTGTAACCATTGTTATTTACTTTATAAAAATTTAATTACTTTGTTTACCACATCATAACATGTCACTAGTTGTTCATGTCAGAGCTGCATATTGTAAAAGCCTGTTGGAATAATGTGACATGCATTTTTATCATGTAAACTATACTGTGTAATACATTAGTAGCATTTTTAATTTCTTTTATTTCAAGATATTTTTTTCATAGACTTTTCCCTATATGTGTTTAAAGTAGTACTTCTTGTTTTAAATATCTTATTTAGCAACAAACATTCAACTGGTTTTATACACAGACCTTTTTTAGAAAATGGTAGAATTCTTTCAAGGTTTTCTAACACTGCTTCTGCTCTGACTTAAGTCAGTGGGGAAAAGCTTATATACCGAAATGATGCTTTCTGTGCATAAAAGACACTGTGAAATACCAGCCCTGTCATGAATGTCCCCACTAAGAAACAGAACGAAGCATTAACAACGTGCAAGCAGAAGAAATGGGAATACAATTCAGGCTGGTGAAACCTTACACCAGACTTCTACCTCCTAATCCACACAACCCAAGCTGAACAGTTCATCTTTATCCTGCCATGTGATATATTTCAGGCAACCCATTGTGGAAGTCTCTGGCTTACAATATTTTTAAAGAATGATTCATTGTATCTGTAATATTTTTTCAGACAGGATAATAATAATATTTTTTCAGACAGGCTGTCCTTCAAGGAAGAGATTTCCTGGCATGGCACAGTGCAGCAGTAAAGTGAGATAGCTGGGCTAGCTGTGAGCAATTTGCCAGGCTTACACTGCATGTTCAATGACCTTAGTGGTCTTTTCCAACCTTAGTGATCATGTAATTCTATGTTCCTGCCAGCCCTGATGGATACAGGTATCGATGGATATGAGCTTGGATGGAGCACTGCACTGCTGAGCCTGTCTGGCTTCCCAGGATAGCGTGGTTTGACTTGACTGGGGTAAGATCTGTCTGAGACAGGAACAGAATGATTCTACCTCAGATGAATCCTGCCTGGAATAATGCTCTGTTCTGTGCAGTAGATGGAAATTCAGTGTAAGTACTGCTTACAGCTGCTGAAGTTATGCCATCTGTTTCCATTCCATGAAGTTTGAATTGGGGTAGTAATAATTCTTTTGAAATTACTTATGTTCTAGAATTTGTGAAATTATTTATGAAATTATTTATGTTCTAGTGATAATCTGAAAGATTTAATAAATTGTACATTGAAAAATTGCGTGAAGACAACATTGGAAAAGTACCTTCCACTGAAGAACTGCTCTTTTTTTCAGAAGAAACATCCTTAAAGCATTCCTCTCAGCTTGGATAATAATTTATCTTCTGAAAAACAAAGGCTGTTTGTGCTACTATATGGGGAATATATTTTATATTGCCACAATAATTCCTTGTTTGCTTTCTAAAGTGTTACAAATTTATGTGAGAAGAAAGAGCTTGTTTAAGTTAAGTTGTTACAGTCCTTCATGGTCAGCATAGCAAAGTCCTAGCTGGGATTGCCTCAATAAACAATGCCTTCTTCTAAGCGACTATTCTGGTATATTTCAGTAGAATTTTTATATAATTTAGAAGGTGCTTTTGATTCGTAAATTAACACTTCCTGAAGGGTTATCCTTAGTCATTTTTTCCCTGCACCACTAGCATAGTCTCCGGCGATATAATTCATACTTGGGTGCGAATTGAGAGGGGTTCGGCTTCTATGTGGTTTTGGTTTTGCCCAATGGACTTGGATGCTCCAAACTGTCTTACATTTTGTCCGCCTCCCAAAGCTCAAGCTCAGCCTCTTCCCCGTGTTGCTATGCCAGGCGGCGCAGCAGCACCACCGTGTGGGAGATAACATTTCTCATTTACAAGACACGCAGAAGGCTGTTCGTACGGAACATCCCCAGGTATTACGGCGATCCAGCTCAGTCCTTCAGAGTCTGAAGGAGGTGAGGCACAACAAATACACTTCGAGCATCACTATGTCCCTCAGTCAGTTTATTTGCTGTGCATAAAATTGAACCACTCTGACTCTTCATAAAAATTCAGCTCACATTTTTTTCAAAATAATTTCTAGTTTATCCTGTTTTTCTTTACAAGTTTTTTTCCCCCAGGAGAGGTCCTGGTGGCAGCATGTGGAGGGGAGAATAGATGTGCCACCACCTCTTTCTCAAATCGTTCTCTGCTGTCCTCCACCCTCTGTGCGCTCAGTAGAGTTTGGATAGCAATGATGCTGAGCTTAGAAACGCTCAAGATTGAGAAAGGCAGTGAGATCACCTAACATACCCTTTTGCCCACATAGCTGAGCACATCACCATAGGTAGTCACTAGTTCCTGACTTCAACCCCGCTGTTCTTCCTACCAGCTTCCAGGAGTGCTCTGTCAGTCCTGCTCCCAGTCCTTCCTCTTCTCTCTCCTCACTGTTCCTTTCCGAGGTAGGGCTGCCTTTGCAAGAGAGAAGCTGGCAGGTGGCTGGGAAACAAGGACGGATTTTTCCCCAGCCCTTTCTTATGCAGAAGGTGTGGTTGTATTATGTACACTGTTAAGATCCTGGTCACTTTTGATCATATTATGAGAGAGTCTCTGAGGGAGAGCTGAGAAGGAAGAGATTTATTCATGTTTTCTGATCTGGCACTGTGCTTTGCACTCTTTCAGGCTTTCATTCTGTCCATACAGGGG